CAGTCCTGAAAAGTTCATTTGGATTACTCTTTGGGATTTGTGGGTTGGCCCTGGTTCATTGGCTTTAGGAGCTGTGAGGAGAAAAAGACAGGCTGCTAAGAATCAAAATGCATAAAGAGCATGGGAGTTATATTAACTTCACATTTAAATTTCAGCTATTGGCCATGAATAATAAACAGGCCTAATCTGGGGATTGTGTCACGTTCTTCTGGTCTTAAAGTTCTATGATTCATTTCTGAAATTTGCAATTAAAATTTTCCTTATGTAATTATATTGATTTATTAAGTTTTCTTGCCATCTGGATAGTTATTTTATATTTTTGCATTTTTCTCCCTCAGTTTTTTATTTCACAGCTTCTATGAATGTCATCTACACTGCTTGTCTCAATTTTTAGAACACACACATACTTTGCCATGCCTATGTTTTTTTTTAAAAGATGACTTTTCATGTGTATTTTAAACTGTAATGCTCAATTTCTAAGGTTGTAATCAAATTGGCCTTAGAACATGTGCTCTGTGTCAGATGTGGTAACATTATTGACTTTTCTGATGAAAACAATTCTAAAGATTGTGGTTCATCATTTGATTTTCTTTTCATATGCTCTAAAAGTGCTCTTTAGAGCATTTTCATGACTCTAAAAATGCTCCTATTATAATAATTACTTATTGGAACCCAGCAAAACCTGCATGCTCTCCCGAGCTCCAGAATAAAAGCAGGGATGAAGCCTGATGGAAAAGGCTGCCAGGAGGTGAAACGCCTGCTCTGCTGCCAAGCAGTCTGACTTTGGAAATGACATTTGCCTTCACTGGTCTCAGTTTCCTTATTTGTAAAATAAGAAGGTTGATTATATGAGCTTCAGGGGTTCTCTCAATATTATTCTATGATACTGAAGTGTTTTTAAGATCGTGAATCATTCTTATGTAGTAGTTTGAAATCATGCATTTCTGCACAATTATATTTTTCAAATATTTTTGAGAGTCAATACTACATTTTAGTCTTCAAGTTAAAGTTAATAAATACTAGAATTTTTCTTTGGCAATATAGGTTAGGCACCCCTCTCCCCCCCAAAAAAGGAAAATCTTGATATTATATTAATTCTCTCTCTTCAAACATTTCTTTCTCCTTTGAACTAAAAAGGCAAGGTCTAAGATTAACTTTCTGAAAGCCATCCTACTGCTGTGAGTGCCTTGGTTTTAACCAAGCTGTGGAGGAAAGTGACATTGAACACTGGTAAAATCAACTCTTTATTAGAGCTGCTTTTCAAAACATTCAGGGACGTTGCCAGTGATGCTGTGTTAGTTTCCCATTGCTGCTGTAACACATTACTGCAAACAATGTCACAAAGCAACAAAAATTAATTTTCTTAGTTCTGGAAGTCACAAGCTCAAAATGGATCTTACAAGGCTAAAATGAAGGTGTTGGCAGGGCTTTGGTCCTTCTGGAGGCTGTAGGGGAGAATTGTTTCTTGCTTTTTCCAGTTTCTAGAGACTTCCAGCATTTCTTAGTGTGTGGTCTTTTCTTCACTTCCTTGTAATCTCTATGTCCATCATCACATTTCCTTCTCTGACTCTGACCTTTATAAGACTCTGGTCTTATAAGACTTCAGTCTTTTAAGTACCTTTGTGATTAGATTGGGCACATCTGGATAATTCAGGGTAATGTCCCCATGTCAAAGACCTTAACTTAATCACATCTACAGAGTCCCTTTTGCCATGTAAGATAACATGTTCATAGGTTCTGGGGACTAGAGCGTGGGCATCTTTCGGGACCATTATTCTGCCTACCACAGATCCTGTCTAGTCATTCAGGATGTCACCCAAATGTTACCTCCTCAGAGGGGCTTCCAGGACCACCTAGAACACCATCTATCCTGGTCTTCTGTTTACCCTTGTTTTATTAAATCTGAGAATCCTGTGTTTATTTTCTAAATTTATTTTTTATTTCGTTCATTTTCTGTCATTTTATTTAATTGTCACTTTCTGTCTCTTTCCACTAGAAGATAAGCTCCACTAGAGCAGAAACATGGTCAGTCTTCTTCCCCACCTTGTCCGACAAATCAAAATAGTTCCGTGTAGTTGGTAGACTCTTAGAGGATGTTTGTTGAATAAATTAATCTGTGGACAGTCTAAGGAAGCCTGCCTTACGTTAAAACAATGTTAATATACTCCTGTTCCTATTGCTATCAATAATGCAAACATTTTTTACTAAACAGCAGTTAAACATACTGTCAATAGATTTTCTTTTGAATTTAAGTAATGGGTTTCTTCTTGGGACATGGATGAGATCAATAAAATGAAATACCAGATGTAAACTGAAGCTGCAGGAAAACAGAAAATACAAGAATTAGACAGAATTAATGCAAACAGTAAATATCTTGCTAAAAAAGAATGGTAGTGTTATCTTGATCCAAGCTATAATCGTGATACAATGGTAAATAACATATGGCCTCTGCACTGTTCACCACAATAAATGCTGAGAACGAATGGAGAAGAGAGAGGTTCATTTTAATTGAGACATCAATTCTGGTAAGCAGAGCTTTCCTCAGGCTATTCCCCAAACATGGTTGTTAGCACTTCAGGAAATTCAAAGAGCTTTTAGGCACAACGAAAGACAGTATCCATTGACATGGCAGTAAGAAGAACCCTGATGGAAGTACTCCATTTCTATAAGCAGGTAATTTAGAGCTGTTCAATTGTTGTTCATTTATACATCCAGGTAATTGATAAAACAAACTCTCAAATGAGTCAGTTAATCAGGAAATATTTATTGAGTACCTGATACTTGTGAGTACCGAGTCCCTGATACCAAACTGAACGGTATTGAGGAGGAGGAGAGAAGGAAACTGGAAGAGGTTGGGAAAACTTCATGGAAGAGGAGTGCTTGGACTGAATTGTCTCCTCCAAAATTCATATGTTGAAGCCCTAACCCCTAATGTGACTATATTTGTAGCTAGCCTATAAAGAGGTAATTAAGGTTAAATGAAGTCATAAGGGTGGGCTCTACTCTGACTGATGTCTTTATAAGAAGAGAGAGAGATGCTAGGGGTGCACACGTATAGGGAAAAGGCATTGTGAGGACACCATGAGAAGGTGGCTGTCTGCAAGCCAAGGAGAGAGGCCGCTGGAGAACCCAAATCTGCCAACACCTTCATCCTGGACTTGCAGCCTCCAGAACTCTGAGAAAGTAAATTTCTGTTGTTTAAGTCACCTAGTCTGTTGTGCTTTGTTGTGGCAGCCCTAGCAGAGTAATAGAAGGGGGAACTTAATCTAAGTCTTGAATGACGGCTAGGGCCGTTTCTGGGAAATGGCCTTGATGAAGATCACTACCCAAGGGCCTGATTCAGAAAAGCACTCAGCAGAAGTGATGAATGAAAGCCGCAGAAAATGTTGGAACGCAATAGCTTGTCGAATTAAAGAGTAGAAGAGAGAACTGAGCATGAATGAGGTGTGGGTGGGTCCCTGGGGGCTTGTGTGCCATTATATATGGGGTGGGGGAGGTGCTTGTGGAGGATCTTGATATCTAGGGAGAGGAAGTTTGTATTTTATTTAGTAGAAAACCTGGGGCTTACATTTGGGATTTGGGTAAGGAGTCAATTTTAGAAAGATCAGGGAGGATATGATTTGGGCTAGGTATGGAAATGAAGAGTAAGGTGTGGCACCCAGAACTATCATAAAAAGAAAAAGAAGCCAGAGTTTGGTGATACCCTGGGTGTTAACTGGGAAAAGTGAGGAGTTAAGGTTGAATGGTTAATGAGGTTAATGAGTCTGAGAGGTATCCAGATAGTTTTTCTTCCTTGGGGTTTCATGAGGATTGGAATGTGTTAGCAACTGAAGTATGGCTTTCTCCCACCCGCACTTCTTTCAAATACTTTAAAACAGAAGAGTGACCCTTTCTTTCCAAACTCTTTATTATTATTAATTAAGCTTTCTCCCTTCACTAACCATAGGCTTATTGTATGAAAATGCCAGGGATGATTGAGGTACCCTTTATGCCCCACAGAATCCTAGGATGTTCCTTCCCAGGACGTACTGGTTCTCAGGGAGCAGCAACATCATTTGCCTCACATGCTACAAAAATAGTTGCTCACATGGTTTTTATCCCTAAAATAGTGTATGTGTGTGTGTGTGTTTGTTTTTACTGGTGGAATTGTATATGTTTATTTTAGAAATTTTGGATGCTATAGAAACATATAGACAAAAAATTCAAATAATTTATGGTCCTACTATTTAGATATGGCTAAGGTTAACATTTGGGGAGTCAAACAGAATAAATGGTTTTGCTTCATCCTTTCTTTTCAGTTAATGTGCATTATTAATCAATATGTTCATATTAATGTTATTGGTAACATTATTTTTTTTAGTTTAGAGTCCCTTGTGAATTTTTCTGGGAGTTCCTAGAATGGCATAGGAAATAATGATTTTTTTTTTTCCAAGAAAATTTTGATAGGTAATGCTTTAGAGAGAGGTTTAATTTTGCTCCTAGGAAGATGTGGAAACTTCTATGAAATTATGTTTGGTAAATTGGAACTGAAATATTATTTTTAAAGTATGTATTTGAGATAGGATGAAAAAGGTTTTTTTTAGAGGTTTAGATATCTTTGTTGTAAATAGATCATGTTCACCATATTATTTTACTCTTGAATTGAACATATTTTCCCTATTTCTTTTTTAAAGTACAAGCTTAATTTTAAAGGAGCCAGTCGTCTAATATAGAATGAAATGATTGAAGTGTAGTCTTCATGGAAGTGAAATATTTAGTCACTTGAGATAAACCAGAAAGGCAGGTGACTGGCCCTCCTTTATTAGGAGGTACTTTATTTCAGTTTGGTGAATGCTTGACTTCTGAGAAGGTGCAAATTTTACTTTGTTTTCATTTACTCTCCATGTTGAATTGTTTTTTTTTAATTTATGATAATAGAAACCTTTTGAATGATCATAAGAAATGCTTATTTGATTGCTATGGCTGAATAATAAATGCCTTTCATCTTTTTGCTATTGCAGTTGACTCATGTTGACCAGGCAAGCTTCCAGGTTGATGCCTTTGGAACGTCATTTATTCTTGATGTCGTGCTAAATCAGTAAGTCTTTGTTGAGTTGCACTCTTTTGTCAGATACACATTGAATCCACTTTCCTATCCTTCTGTAAAGTTTTGTTTTCTTACTATATTTTACTTCACCTTCCTATATCAGTTAAATGCTACATTTAAAATTATTATATCTATTGACTGTAAGTTATAAAGTCTGGCAAATAACAGGAAATGGATATCCATTTGAAATTGAACAGCTGTACCAGCTTTAAGAATGTAAGATGGAGGGCAAGAGTTACTCTAATATTTTGCTTAGAATATATGTGATCTAAATTCCTATAAATGACAGTAAATTGTGAAAATAATACTTTGGGTATTAAAATGTCTTTCTTAAGAACAGCAGAAAAGAGAAAGTTACCCTTTGTGCTCAGTGATTCAGAGGACTGGCTGCATGCATCATGTGTGTGATTCCTAATAATGCCATTAGATGCTTTGATTTGGGAGTCAATTTCTGTCAGGTTTAGGGTACTGGGATTATTCTGTAACAATATAATTTTGGAAATTGTCATTTTGTCTACCTAGAATTTTAGGTTTGGAAGTGCCTTTTGATAATTCACTGGATTTAATCTCTTCCCTTTGGGTAAGTGTAGTGTCTGAAAAGTCTTACAGGACATTTAATTATCTGTTCACTTTTTTAAAAAAACATTTGTATCCCACTTCTTATCATGGGCAAGTGAGAAGAAACCAGGGCTGTGCCAGCCAGTGTTTCAGAGCTGAGCAATACTGGCCCACAGCTTTGCGAAATCAGCTATGCAACAGCTCAGGAAGACAGTGTGAGGCCACAAGGACAGAAAGGTAGACTCAGAGTAAAAACTACAGCCTAAGTTGTCTTCACTGGGGAAGCAGCTAGATGGAAGACTATGAGTTAATTAAAAAAGGATGTAAGAGGCAGGACTTAGAGCTGTGCTATCTGTATAGGTAACCACTAGCCTCTTGTGGCTGTTTAAATTTAAATTAATTGATTTAAATAAGGTCAAAAATTCTGTTTTTCATTTTCATTAGCCTCATTTCAAATGCTCAATAGCCATGTGGGCTAGTGGTTACTTTATTGGACAAGGCAGAACATTTCCATCATTGCAGAAAGTTCTGTTGGTCAGTGCTGGTTTAGAGATTTCTTTAGGGGAACGGGTTTGTATGAACTGATAGGTTACTGGGCTGGGTCAGTCAGTATTCAGGAGGAGAATTCACTTCTTCCTTTTAGAATTCAGTCCATGTTCAATGGATTAATTTAATATTTAATTTTACTAGCATCCTAATTTTTATGGAATTTATTTACAAAGTTGGGGTAATACGATTTTTGTTGTGTTAATGCTTAAGCCATGTATTGGTTTATTTCATAATTAAGCCGTCTCAAACATACATTTTGTAAGTAGTTCTCCCTTCTCCCCACATTTTTGTAGTTCGCAAACAATTTAAATACTGAAAAGCATTGTGTTAGATGGAAATTGATTATTTGGGTGATCCAAAAATAGGAGTTGTTTGTTCTTTGCTCATGTGTATTTTAAAAATGTAACATAAATTGTATTTCTACTATGCTCATTAAAATACAGTTTATTTCGTGTTTTTAAAATTAAAGCTTAGAACATGTATAATTAAATGTTTTATACCATACTGTATGTTTTTAGCCTAATTTCATAGGGCGTGACTAAGATTGTGTTAATGTGATCTGTATCTTAAAGTCCTGCTTGATGTAAATACTCTGAAATTTACATGTTTAAATGACTCATTTCAGTTTTTCAGCAACTTCAATATTATAAAGTTTTAAAAAACTCGTTATAAAGAAATGCATGTTCCTTAGAAACATAATGAAAAAGTAGAAAAATAATCTTACATCGTTCTACCACTTGTAGACTGATTGCCCTATTGTAAGTCCTAACCCTCTCTGCCCTCACTCCCCCATCCACCCTACTACCTCTTCTCCTCCCCTGCTGTATTTTTACAATAATATTCATCATTTAATATTTAGGTTGACTCACATGAAATTGCCATTTTTGCAGGTCAAAAAGTTTGACTACCAGCATTGTCATATGGTCAATTAATACTCTATATTTTAACGATTTATTTTGTGTATTGTCTTTTTTCTCCCTCCAGAATGTAAGCTCCTTGAGGGCAGAGATTTTCTTTCCTTCACTGCTGTCTCCTTTGTACAGAATAGGTGCTAAATTCCAGGGTGGGAAGTCAGATTGATTCAGAAACCAGAGGCTGGAATTAGCCAGGAGACAGAGGATGACCAGATGAGGGTGGAGGCTGTCGGTTGGGGAAGAGTGAAGCAGCAAAAAAGAAAAAGAGGATGAGTATTTGGCACTAGCTTCTAAAAGCTGAGCTTACCTATCTAGCTGTGATTTGGAAAGTCAGGTTCCTAGGTTTCTATGTCAATGACTCTTCCCCATCCCTCCTTTAAATCGTTGTTCTTGTAGATAGCCCCCACTTTGGTTTCTGGTTGCTGATATTAGTAATGCATTGATTTTCAATATTCAAAGAAAGGATATTTATTCCTGTCCATTCTGCCCAAAGCACCTCACTTCCTTTGGAGAAATCTGAGCCCCAAAATGTTCTCTTCCTAAAGGTGAAACACATCTGGCCATACTTATCAGAGCATGAAGCTTAGAAAACGAAGGGTGAAGCAGAATTTCTTTTGACATACTGGAAAAAACCTTCACTGGTCATTTTTCTTCTTATTGCAATGAAAATTAGACATTTCAAGAAGTACAAAGGATAAAATAATAGCATAAATGGAGGTTGCTGGCCTGAGGAATATGCAAAGTGCTTTTTCTTTTCTTGCCTGGGATCTATATTCAACATAGCAGCAGGTAGCTGATTTCTTTATGCTATAAGAGCCAGGATGATTTGAAACGAAGATTTTTTTTTTCTTATTTTTATGGAGAATGGTTTTATTTCTTGGTTTTAGCTTGTATATTGTCTTGTAGTTATGTTGTTTAAGGAGCAGGGAGGTGAAAACTTGGCTATGCTCCTTAAAAGCTTTTTTTCTTACAAAGAAATTCTAGGGCTGTGGAACAGGCGGAGTTTTTTTGTTGTTTTGTTTTGTTTTTAGATTGGTATGGAAAGAAAAGTATCATTACATAATATTCTTTCTGAATGTTCAATAAACAAGATTATCTATAACCAAATTGTACAAGATTTCAGCCTTTGTTTTGTACCTTCTACAGGAGGCAGATAAAGAATATGGAATAGTTGAAAATGAAAAGCCTAGCCAGTTTTTGTTTTGTCAAGATTATGAAGAGTAGAAAGCAATTTCAGTTACTTCAGGGGTCGCACTGTTGTGAAATTTCACTCTCTAGGACATATGTATTAATAAAACCAAACATATGGCCTGGCCTGGTCAAACTAGTCCTCAGGCTATATTGGACTTTTCCAGAGGTCAGCAACTGGTATTATACTTTATTGTGAAACATTCTTCAGAAAGAAAAAGCCTCGATAAAGACATTTCACTATATTATTGGAGCAATTCAAGCCAACTCTTTTCCTGTAAATGTCTCTCCTGTTCTTCAAGTAGTGGATAGTTATACTGCCCAAAGCAAAGCAAGAATATTGAAAAAATTTCCTTTCAGTACTCCTTGATCCCTTTACAACAGGTGACCTCACAAAAACAAACCACACACATTTAGTATAAAATTGTGTAGAAGACAAATCTGTATCGAATAGGCCTTATCAATAGAGATTCTTATCTTCATTTTATACACACATATATGTATATAAATGTATTTATACACATATGCTCTACACACGTATATGTACACAACACACACAAACACATACGTGTATATGTATGTACATATGTACACACATATATAAATTTATTAGGCCTCTAGTAACTGCTAAGAGTTCTTCTAGACCCTTAAGTCTTGGCAGAAACAAGGAAATAAGCACTCTACTCTTAGGGAGCCTGTATTCTAGTCCGAAAGATAATGAACATGTTAACAAATAAAGTAATTTCAGAGAGTGACAGTGCTGTTAATAGCAAGTGCCTGACATGGAGAGGAGGGTGCTATTTGAGCAGTGGTTACCAGGAACAGGCCATCTCTGAGGATATGTATGACATTTGAACTGAAGGGGCCCCCAAGGCAGAGAGAACAGCATATGTCAAGGCCCTGAGGCAGGAAGAAGCTAAGCATGTTTGAGAGACAGGAAGATGGCTTAGGAGGCTGGAACAGGGTGAGCCAAGAGAGTTATTACATGAAATTTGACAGGTAGTAGGACCCAAATCATGTAGGGCCTTAGAGGCTACAGAAAAGACTTTGGATGATAGTCTAAGCAGAGGCTACTGATTTTCTCCACACCATATGTTGTGTTATTCACTCCTTCTTCCACTGACTTATGATTCTTTAATAATCATATTTAGTTATTGCATATTTTAATGTCTTCTCAAAGCAGTCTCTTCTGAAGATCTATTCATTAGTTACTGGACCTAATACCACCATACTATTTATTGTAACTTTTAACTGTTTTAATATCTAGCATGGAAAAATCTGTCATTATTAGTTTTCTTTTGAAAAATTTCTTGGATATTTTTGTCTTTTCTAATATGGAAATTTAGGGTAATTTTGTCAGTCTTTTTGGAATTTTAATTAGACTGTCAGTAAAGCTATATTTTAATTTGAGAAAAGTACACATTTTATAGTATTGAGTCTTTCCATTAATATCATTGTGTTTTTTTTTTAATTTAAGCATCTTTTTTATGTCTCTCAGTAAAATTTAGTACTTTTTTTTTTTTATTAATGTTATGATAGATTAAAACCTTGTGAGATTTCAGTTGTACATTTTTGTTAGTCATGTTGTGGGTACACCACTTCCCCCTTTGTGCCCTCCCCCCACCCCCCCCCCCTTTTCCCTGGTAACCACCGATCAGATCTCCTTATCAATATACTAACTTCCACCTATGAGTGGAGTCATATAGAGTTCGTCTTTCTCTGACTGACTTATTTCGCTTAACATAATACCCTCGAGGTCCATCCACGTTGTTGTGAATGGGC